GACATTATTCATACATGATAATATACACACGTTGAGAAAATTTTATCGAATTATACACTTTAAAAAAAATTTATCGATATTTTTAAGAAAATAATGGATAAAAGTAAATATTAAATGATATAATCAAAGAAATTAAGGAAAGAAAAATTGTTATTTAATATAGTGTGATCGACTTTTTAGATGGTCGAATTTTATGTTTTATCATACTTTCAAACACGGGTTATGAATAGTGTGTAATAAATCACCGTAATTATGTATGAATTATACTTTTATTTACTTCTTCAGTTTTTACGTATAAAATCAGGATTTTTAAAGATTTAAAGATTCTTATTTTGCACATTGTACCTTCAAAGATTAAATTTAATCTTCGAGAGTGCAAAATAAGAATCTTTAAATCTCCTAGGGTGCAAAGTGCAAAATACTCTTTTGTGTTTGATGATTTCCTGTTCCAGTCTATTCTAGACTTCTCATGTTTTTCCATTCACTTCTCTATGTTTCTTTGTTGATTTTTCTCCCTTGTTCTTGTTGTTTTTCTCTTTTGGCATCTCATTGGAATGCTCTTAGCAAGAAATGCGGTTGACTTGAACTGCATTCAATGAAACAATTCATAAAAATTAATCTTTGTCAGATTTCATATTTTCATATTTTCATTAACTCTTATACTTGTGAAATTAAAACCCGTCAAAATTTCATATCATAATCTATNTTGATAGAAATAAGAAAATAATTTATTTTTAATTACATCATATTTAATACTTAAAATTCACTAAACCCAATTGACCAAAAATTAGTAAGCCTAGTATATACAAATTACAATAATAAAAGAAAGATTAATTATATCTTTTTACAAAATATACACAGATTAAAATTATTTAGAATTGACTTTGGTGAATTTTTATTGTTGGAAATAATTGCATAACAATTTTATTATTCTTTATACACATAATCGTGTTATCACTTCTATATTTATCACTCATTCAATTATGTAGTTCAATGAATAATCTATAACGTCTATTGCAATTAGTAAAATAAATGTCAAAATCATAAGTAAACTAACTAATATGTGTATCATGTATTTTTTAGTCTTAGAAAGTATAAAATAATTTTAGTATATTTAAAATTTATCTAGATATGTACATAACATGTCTAAAATGTGTCAAAAAATTCATATTCATTTGATATAAATGTACACTAATTGATATGTCAAAAAATAGGGTGGACATAAATAAAAATATTTAAAAAATATATAAGTAATATTAAGAAAAAAAAATAATAATGCATTCAATCGGGTCATGTACTAACTTCAAGTCTTTGGTTTTAAGCAGTGGTTGGCCTAGATTTTTTTGTTTTGTTTTGTTTTGTTTTGTTTTAAGTAAGTTTGGTTGTTTAATTCTTTTGGGTGGATAGTGGTGGGCATAATACTTTTATCTTTGTTTTTGGGTGTACACAAATGATATATTATACAAATATAAAATATATATACATAGGTAATAAAAAAAAATTTGAGGGCGGCACATGCCCCACCCTAGATCAAACTTAGCTTCGCCCTGTCTATATAGTTATCAAAGAGTTTGGTTCTTATCAAAGTAAAGCGTAAAATGATAAAATTAAAAATTAATTTATTTTCAAATATCAGCTCTCTATAGTTATTAAACAGTTTAATTCAATTCAGTACTTAAATTTTAATGGATACCAAGCAGCCCATGAATTAAAACTTCAACTTTCAGCACATAAAATTCAGTATTCAGTGTTCAGATTTCAATTTTAACGAACGCCACAAAAAGGATTGTCTTTTAACTAAACTAAGAGATTCTCTTTTAATTAAATTAAGATATTGTTTTTTAATTGAATTAAATTCTAATAATATGTTAGAGGAAAAATTTATTAGACAAAAATCCTGAGCATCGCACGGGTCATGCTAGCATGAGATATTATTTAAATAGTTCTTCTCGAGCTCAAAAAAGAAAAACCATAATACCATGTCGAAATTCCTCGACCAAAGAAGGCCTTGTGGTCTTATGGGTCAAATCTCTCCACTTTTGAGAAATGTAAACGTAACACACTGGACAATAAAAGAAGAGGCAATGCCTAACAATCAAGTGTGATCTAGGAAATACTCAAGATCTGCAATAATGGATTACTTTATATAAAATAAGAAACACCTTTTGACTTCACTAAGCAAAAGCATGAAAGATGGATAAGAAGAAAAAGCATGAAAAGATGTACATAATATGCCAACCAACTTTTATATCTATTAGCGATACCTCGTAATTAAAGTCATTGTACAATAAATTATGGTATTATACNGATCTAGGAAATACTCAAGATCTGCAATAATGGATTACTTTATATAAAATAAGAAAACACCTTTTGACTTCACTAAGCAAAAGCATGAAAGATGGATAAGAAGAAAAAGCATGAAAAGATGTACATAACATGCCAACCAACTTATATATCTATTAGCGATACCTTGTAATTAAAGTCATTGTACAATAAATTATAGTATTATGCATGTATTAGAATATTTGTGTTAAAGTGTATGTATGTATATACAATTGTATGTTGTGGAGTGTGTGTGTTGGATTTTTAAAATTTTGGGAGGGAGGGGTGGAGTGTGTGTTGGGTGTGGGACATTTGGGGGGAAAATATACCCCCCATAAATTCAAACACTTATCTCTGATTTATTATATAAATATAATAAAATAAATAATAATTTAAATTTTTATTTCTTATACATATTTTTTTCAAAAAATTATATTACTTATTATTATCACATATTTAATTATTTAATATTTTATTAATTAATAGATTAACATATTTTTTATTTCAGACATTATTCATACATGATAATATACACACGTTGAGAAAATTTTATCGAATTATACACTTTAAAAAAAATTTATCGATATTTTTAAGAAAATAATGGATAAAAGTAAATATTAAATGATATAATCAAAGAAATTAAGGAAAGAAAAATTGTTATTTAATATAGTGTGATCGACTTTTTAGATGGTCGAATTTTATGTTTTATCATACTTTCAAACACGGGTTATGAATAGTGTGTAATAAATCACCTTAATTATGTATGAATTATACTTTTATTTACTTCTTCAGCTTTTACGTATAAAATCAGGATCTTTAAAGATTTAAAGATTCTTATTTTGCACATTGTACCTTCAAAGATTAAATTTAATCTTCGAGAGTGCAAAATAAGAATCTTTAAATCTTCTAGGGTGCAAAGTGCAAAATACTCTTTTGTGTTTGATGATTTCCTGTTCCAGTCTATTCTAGACTTCTCATGTTTTTCCATTCACTTCTCTATGTTTCTTTGTTGATTTTTCTCCCTTGTTCTTGTTGTTTTTCTCTTTTGGCATCTCATTGGAATGCTCTTAGCAAGAAATGCGGTTGACTTGAACTGCATTCAATGAAACAATTCATAAAAATTAATCTTTGTCAGATTTCATATTTTCATTAACTCTTATACTTGTGAAATTAAAACCCGTCAAAATTTCATATCATAATCTGTNACATGTATTAGAATATTTGTGTTAAAGTGTATGTATGTATATACAATTGTATGTTGTGGAGTGTGTGTGTTGGATTTTTAAAATTTTGGGAGGGAGGGGTGGAGTGTGTGTTGGGTGTGGGACATTTGGGGGGAAAATATACCCCCCATAAATTCAAACACTTATCTCTGATTTATTATATAAATATAATAAAATAAATAATAATTTAAATTTTTATTTCTTATACATATTTTTTTCAAAAAATTATATTACTTATTATTATCACATATTTAATTATTTAATATTTTATTAATTTATAGATTAATATATTTTTTATTTCAGACATTATTCATACATGATAATATACACACGTTGAGAAAATTTTATCGAATTATATANAAAAATTATATTACTTATTATTATCACATATTTAATTATTTAATATTTTATTAATTAATAGATTAACATATTTTTTATTTCAGACATTATTCATACATGATAATATACACACGTTGAGAAAATTTTATCGAATTATACACTTTAAAAAAAATTTATCGATATTTTTAAGAAAATAATGGATAAAAGTAAATATTAAATGATATAATCAAAGAAATTAAGGAAAGAAAAATTGTTATTTAATATAGTGTGATCGACTTTTTAGATGGTCGAATTTTATGTTTTATCATACTTTCAAACACGGGTTATGAATAGTGTGTAATAAATCACCGTAATTATGTATGAATTATACTTTTATTTACTTCTTCAGTTTTTACGTATAAAATCAGGATTTTTAAAGATTTAAAGATTCTTATTTTGCACATTGTACCTTCAAAGATTAAATTTAATCTTCGAGAGTGCAAAATAAGAATCTTTAAATCTCCTAGGGTGCAAAGTGCAAAATACTCTTTTGTGTTTGATGATTTCCTGTTCCAGTCTATTCTAGACTTCTCATGTTTTTCCATTCACTTCTCTATGTTTCTTTGTTGATTTTTCTCCCTTGTTCTTGTTGTTTTTCTCTTTTGGCATCTCATTGGAATGCTCTTAGCAAGAAATGCGGTTGACTTGAACTGCATTCAATGAAACAATTCATAAAAATTAATCTTTGTCAGATTTCATATTTTCATATTTTCATTAACTCTTATACTTGTGAAATTAAAACCCGTCAAAATTTCATATCATAATCTATTGTAAGTTTCATGTCAATCAGAACGTGATCCGAATCTAAACCTTCACTACATAGATGATTAAACAAAAACCACATTTCTTTTATTTATTTCTAACAATTGCCCAATGGCAAAGTATATATTTTTCAGTAGATAGACTTACTTACCCATATAAATAACCAGCCTAAATATTACACGCTTTGGGAAAAATGTAAAGTATAACTCCCACCCCATGACTTTATATGGCCTAAAACACTAACATGAACATTACAAAATCCTCTTTTTTGAAGCATTGCAAAATGCAAACATACTTTCAACCACTCACTATGGACTAAGAGGCCAGAAAAACTCTAACATTATCCAAAACTGGCCCACAAATGTGACCGAAGTCATGAAGCTTTGTGTGATAAAATGCACTGTAAAATGTTATCCTTGTCCTAGCAGAAACTGCCTGGAATTTAAGACTGGCAGTCTTAAACCCTCCTTTTCCCCTAGATTCAAAGCGAACTTTTAGGGTTTCCTTCGCGGCAAAAGCTTCGACCATCATCGACCCGTGGCAGCCGTTCTTTGCGTCTCCGACAGTGAATGTGAGGTTGTAGAGTTTGTTGGGAATTGTCCTGAGGATTTGTGCGATAGCGCTTTCTCTTCCCGCTACCAATTCAATGGCTGCAAGTCCTGAGGGTACGGAGAAGTGCTTCGAGTCGATGTACTTTACCGGTTTAAGGGACTCAATGATCCATCCTGGGAGTGGTGAAATTGAATCTTTTTGTTTGGGGAGGAGGAGGACCCCTGTTGAGAAGTTCTTGAAGACATGAGGACCAGTTTCAAAGTCACCATTTTTTGCTAGGTTCCCTGCATGAAGAATAGATGGAAATTTAGGTAAAATTGCAAGTAGTTAAAAATAGAGAAGCATAACCCCCCCTTTAGCTAAATTTAGTATTTTGTTACAATTCATTTCCCACCCCCTAAAAATAACATATATAAGAAAAATTTTAATAACATATTTCAACATTTGACATAATAATATATGCAAAGGAGTTATTGGGCCTGTTTCAACCTGGTTTTTTTATGTGAAAATATGCGGTTTAAAAATTTTCACTAAAAAATCGAAGTTAAAAAAATTTCCAAAAGTTGAAAAAGTTTGTTTGAAATGACTTTCTAACTTTTTTTTTTGTCAAAATAAAAAAATAATTACATGTAAATATAGATTTTGCATTATAGATCTTAAAATATGAATTTTAAATTTTTTTACACCACAAATAATATTTTATGAATATAATAAACTAATAAATTATGTGGAATCTAAGACAAATATCCAAAAAATCGAAAGAAAAACTTATAAAATTAATTTCTTGAAGCCTAAATAAGTCTTTTTGAGTTCAAAAAAATTGNTACCGTAGTCAACTCTGTATTTATATCCTAAAGCTGGGGAAAGAAAAGTAGATAAGAGAGGCCATGTTAAAGTACCACAAAATCAGCCGTGAGATGTGTCTGATTGTCGCATTTTCTTTCTTTCACGACTTGGAACTTGGTTTTCTATACAACTGGTGCGTTTTGGAGCCCACCGACCGGCCAGTCTTTCTTGGATGGCGTGATTGGCTCTGCTTTTTATTTTGAACAAGCTGTCCCCATATGTGCCGGTGTCAATCATGGCCTGTTCCATGTTATTTTTGTATCGTTTTATTTTAGGTGTTTTATTTTTGTGTTGAATCACTTTTAATACGTGTTCGATTCGTCTTAATATTTATATTAATAAAAAATTATTTAATTTCACAACAACTCATTTAATACTATTTAAAAAATTCTTATTTTTTTGTTTATAATACTCGCTAAATACTTATTTTTTATCTATAATATTCATTAATCGTGTTGTTCATATCGAATATTAATTTGACTCATTTATTACTCTTGTCAACTAATTATGTTATTTTCGAGTTCTTTATCAAGTCAAGTTTATGTCAAATTCGAGTTAATGGATAAAATTGACACCCCTGTGTGCGAGGGCGTACACCTTTCTGTGTTGACCTTATTATTTTGTCATTAAATTGACAGTGAATCTTACTATTAGTTATAATTCACTATTAATTCAATACTTAGGATTCATAATTAAGTACAAATAGAATTTTCTTATTAGGATATATAACTCAGTTGTCTCTTTTTTTCACTTTCTTTTCCCAATCTTTTTCTCTTTTATTTCCACTATTTAGAAGTTAAATAATTAATTATTGAAAGTTACAAGGTCATAATTATACATTTTTTTTTAATAAATTCAAATAAAAGTGATTAGTTAGAGAAGAATAGATAAGTGGCTGTAAGAGATACTTGATAGATTGTGATTGAATGATTTCAAATTTTGTAATTTAAACGCGTATTAAGGGCCAATGTAATCCACGCTTTGTCAAAACAAACGGATTCCATTTGTTTTTCACTATGGTCTGTTACTTGAGGGGGGTTTAGTTCAAAACTTGCCAGCTCCTCAAAGTATAGGGGTAATTTGCATTTAACCCTTGAATCTATTCAGTTCTCAGTTATCAGTATAGGAGTGTGAGCTGATCATGATGCCCAATTTCAACTCGGGTAATTTGGGAGTGAGATACGTTTTACTATATTTTTTTCAAAATTTTTTCTTGGTAGTTCTCAATAATACATGGTTACTAATCTACAGGGCAAAGTGGAAGAACAAATATTAGAGGGGATCTTCGAGTAATTTGGGTGGGAAAATTCAAATCTTCTTAGCCTGATGTCCTAAGTTAAAGTATTATAAAAAAAGTAATGCTACATGTACTTAAAAACTAGACTTAAAAATTAGACTTGATAATCTCAACAATTGAATAGGTAGTGGATCTCAATAAATGCTGGGACCCACAGTGAAATCAATGGTTGAAATTATTAGGTCTAATTTTTAAGTCCATGTAGCATTGATCTTATAAAAAACTTCTACATGTGATTTGCAAGTGATTATACGCATTTAGAGTTTACATTTCTGATCAAGAATAAAGTTGTAAATAATGGCAAATTAAACAACATAAACGAATGCTCAAATCAAAATCTTAGAATTTTCAACTTCATGGGGATCAAAATCATATATAAGACCTGGAAAAACAAATACTTTATTTATAGAGTTGTCTTGGCAGTAAGGTTTAGTGCCAAAGTTTACAAGTACTTGACATGAGGATCAACTCTATGCACATAATATGTACTAATTTAAAGGAGTAAAGATTTTAGCGAGCTTTTTTTTTTTCTTCCTTGGATAACTCCTCCAAATTAGTCTTCGGACCAAAGTACATCAAGTATAACATCGGACGATTCGCCATAAGTAATGGTATTGAGCTGCGCTCGATCTATCCAGTCTTCAACCTCAGAATTGCATGACTTAACATGTTCTCTCCCACCCATAAAAGAATTTGGGCCAAAATTCATATCAGCACCACTGTTGTATGCAGAGCTTGACACACTGTAATCCACCACTTCGTGGTGCATGGAGCTTTGGTTAAAATGAGGCTGCAAATGTACAGCATTAGGAACCATTTCATCGACAGCAACATTAGGAACCACATCATTGTGCTTAAGTGCAACATTCGGCACCGTATCATTGTACATTGGAGTAGCGTTAGACACCACATCATTGTGCATATTTGTAGCATTAGGCACCGTTTCTTCAGCCATGTTATAGACAAAGTCTCTATATAGCCAATCGTCGACTGAAATATCAAGTGGCTCCACATCAACACCCTGTGGTAAAGCCGCATCATTGAGCATATTGTCCATTCCTAATTGAAGAAGTGGAAGCATGGAGTCTTGGCTGAAATGAGGCTGCAGAGCTGGATTAACCACTGTTTCATCAGGTTCTTCTTCTAAATTATCTTGCTGTGGGTTGTTCTTGGGCTTCACCCTCGTTTGATAGATTTTGCACAACACCAAATCATCCAACTGTAGGAAAAAACAAATGCTATGAGCTACTCTATTGAACTGTTGGTTAATCACTTAATCCATAACATGTATGCAATGGATCACGAAAAAAGAAAACAAATCGTGGAAAATCAATAATTACCACTTTAGAGCTATAGATTTTTGAATCACTTAGACATAAGTAAAATTACTGTATACCTTCATGTCACCTGAAGCCCTACTTGGAGTATTCTGCACCTTAGCTGTGTATTCTTGCATTAGCCAATTAGTCTTCCCTTGAGATCCATCTCTAGCATTCTTTTCATAAAAAACTAACGACTTCTTGTACCCGACTACCCGACCATTGCTATAAATTGGTTTGTCACCTCCTGAAGCCTTCCACCATCCATCACCAGTATTTCGGTTGGGCCGGATGCCATTAGCGTACCTCTTTTCCCTTGGGGTAAAGAAATACAATTCATCTTCTCCATGTAATTTGTATTTCTCTGTCATTCCGAGAATAACCATGGTTATTTATTCAACATTAAAGTTGAAGTATAAAAATAAAATAGGGGCACAATCTAGATATCAAAAAAATATGAATGATCACCTTTAGAAAAATATAAAAATAAACAAAGATAGAATAGTATGGAAATTGAACATTTGCATATGGATTGTGAACCTAACATTACTCTATACCCGCCATTTATCATAGGATAGTTATGAATTAAATCTGATGATGTACAAAACGGGCTTATGCACAATCAACAGTTGAGTGTGTGATATAGCGTAATTAATGAATAATTAATAAAACAATTAGTGGCAAAAAAGTAAATATCAGGTCAACACGCAGATATATAATGGTTCGGTCTGAGTGACCTACTTCACTCTGAAAGCGGCAACAGTGGTCGAAGAGCCTTTATTAATAAATAAGGTAAGGGAGAGGGAGCTCCAAGAGATATACAATAGTTAGGAGAGATAAAAACTATGTGAATAGTGTGTAGAGAAAGGTAGAGATGTCCCTCTCAATAGAGAAATCTTACAATTTATAGGCATGCAGTTTTTAGGTGAGGCGGTGATGTGAGGGCAAATGTACTAGTTTTTCAGGGAGGATATTTATAAAAAGTAAGTACAATTAAAATAGCTTTAATCTTCGAGAGTGGTTATTCCGATGATTACTCTCCGCGTGCTCTNTAATAAAACAATTAGTGGCAAAAAAGTAAATATCAGGTCAACACGCAGATATATAATGGTTCGGTCTGAGTGACCTACTTCACTCTGAAAGCGGCAACAGTGGTCGAAGAGCCTTTATTAATAAATAAGGTAAGGGAGAGGGAGCTCCAAGAGATATACAATAGTTAGGAGAGATAAAAGCTATGTGAATAGTGTGTAGAGAAGTGTAGAGATGTCCCTCTCAATAGAGAAATCTTACAATTTATAGGCATGCAGTTTTTAGGTGAGGCGGTGATGTGAGGGCAAATGTACTAGTTTTTCAGGGAGGATATTTATAAAAAGTAAGTACAATTAAAATAGCTTTAATCTTCGAGAGTGGTTATTCCGATGATTACTCTCCGCGTGCTCTAATCTTCTTGAACTCGGGCCTTGGGTTGAATTCTTGAACTAGGCTTAGGCTTGACCTGTTTTGTGGCTGATTTGGGCTCCATTAATTGATTGGACTTGATCCAGTAGAAATTGGGTTCGTCAAAATCAACTAATAAGGTCCAAATAGATTACTGGTTTGTAAATATGTCCAAATAGTATTACTGGTTTGTAAATATGTGTCAAGTTAACGCATGTACACACTGTATATATTACTAACACATTGTCAATGTTGATTGTGAATCGTAATATTAACTAAGACCCATAAATTGAATTGCCACAAGGGATTTAAAACATTCACATGTGGATGCATGAATATAATCGCCATATACATAAACACCTACACAAGATATATAGAAGAACTTGCCAAAAAGTTGCTTGGGATTGAACTTGTAGAGGTCGACATCTCTGATCCTGTTGGGAGGTAAGCATTACTTCGAGATTTTGATCGTCAAGTAATGAACAATCAACTCCTGATCAGTGGGTTTAAACCGGAAACCAGGCGGTAACGAATCCAAGTACTCGTCCGTGTACATTGACCTGCCCACGTNGTTAACAACTTAGTTTCATGCTACACTATAGCATGAAAACTTTGTTTTTTCCAGCTGAGTTTCATGCTACACTGTAGCATGAAAACTTATGACTGTCATCTATAAGTTAATAACTTGGTTTCATGCTACACTGTAGCATGAAAACTTAATTTTGAAAGCTAAAAGTTTTCATACTATGATTGTCATCTATGTAAGATAACAACTTAGTTTCGTNTCGAACCCTAAAACAGAAAACTTGAAGTGTAAGAAACAACCTGATTGAAAAGAAAATAAAAACAAAAAACTGTGAGAGTGGCTTTTGGATTCGAGGGATCACCATTGCATGGAGAGAAAAAACGGCATTTTTTGAAGGCCAAANGACAGTCAGTCGTATGCTAATTACCACAATAGCTTGGTACTAGGTATAAAGTTTTCTTGCTATGACTTGGAAACTTAGTTTTCATGTTAGCCTGTAGCATGAAAACTTTGTTTTTTTCCACTCTGAAAACTTTGCTTTTTTCCACTGGCCGCATGAAAGTTAACAACTTTATTGTCATTTATGTAAGTTAACAACTTAGTTTCGTGTTACACTGTAGCATGAAAATTTTGTTTTTTTCCACTTAGTTTCATGCTATACTGTAGCATGAAAATTTAGTTTTGAAAACTAAAAGTTTTCATGCTATGGTTGTCATTTATGTAAGTTAACAACTTAGTTTCATGCTACACTGTAGTATGAAAACTTAGTTTTGAAAACTAAAAGTTTTTGTGCTATGATTGTCATCTATGTAAGTTAACAACTTAGTTTCATGCTACACTGTAGCATGGAATCTTTGTTTTTTTTCCACCATGATTTTTTTTCCCACTTAGTTTCATGCTACACTGTAGCATGAAAACCTAGTTTTTAAAACTAAAAGTTTTCATGCTATGACTGTCATCTATGTAAGTTAACAACTTAGAGTGTAGCATGAAAACTTAGTTTTGAAAACTAAAAGTTTTTGTGCTATGATTGTCATCTATGTAAGTTAACAACTTAGTTTCATGCTACACTGTAGCATGAAAACTTTGTTTTTTTTCACCATGATTTTTTTTCCCACTTAGTTTCATGTTATGATTGTCATCTATGTAAGTTAACAACTTAGTATCATGCTACACTGTAGCATAAAAACTTTGTTTTTTTCCACTTAGTTTCATGCTATGACTGTTATCTATGTAAGTTAACAACTTAGTTTCATGCTACACTATAGCATGAAAACTTTGTTTTTTCCAGCTGAGTTTCATGCTACACTGTAGCATAAAAACTTATGACTGTCATCTATAAGTTAATAACTTGGTTTCATGCTACACTGTAGCATGAAAACTTAATTTTGAAAACTAAAAGTTTTCATACTATGATTGTGATCTATGTAAGATAACAACTTAGTTTCGTGCCACAGTGTAGCATAAAACTAAGTTGTTACCTTACATAGATGACAATCATAGCATGACAACTTAGTTTTGAAAATTAAAAGTATTCATGTTATCTATAAAATACGGATACTTTGCTNAAATAAAACTCAACTACAAATTGGATATCTCATCTCTCTTTCTCTCTCTCTCTCTCACACNCATGTTATCTATAAAATACGGATACTTTGCTAAGATCGACGTACTCGTATCGGATATCGTATTTGATACGATTCTTGATGATACGTATCGGATACGCAACATCTGTATCCGATAATTAATAAAATATGTAGATACTTCGCAGACATTTCTAAACATGGAACAAGATGTGCAATTTTCAATTTTAAGCTATACCCCNATGTAAGTTAACAACTTAGTTTCGTGTTACACTGTAGCATGAAAATTTTGTTTTTTCCCACTTAGTTTCATGGTATACTGTAGCATGAAAATTTAGTTTTGAAAACTAAAAGTTTTCATGCTATGGTTGTCATTTATATAAGTTAACAACTTAGTTTCATGCTACACTATAGTATGAAAACTTAGTTTTGAAAACTAAAAGTTTTTGTGCTATGATTGTCATCTATGTAAGTTAACAACTTAGTTTCATGCTACACTGTAGCATGAAAACTTTGTTTTTTTTCACCATGATTTTTTTTCCCACTTAGTTTCATGTTATGATTGTCATCTATGTAAGTTAACAACTTAGTATCATGCTACACTGTAGCATAAAAACTTTGTTTTTTTCCACTTAGTTTCATGCTATGACTGTTATCTATGTAAGTTAACAACTTAGTTTCATGCTACACTATAGCATGAAAACTTTGTTTTTTCCAGCTGAGTTTCATGCTACACTGTAGCATAAAAACTTATGACTGTCATCTATAAGTTAATAACTTGGTTTCATGCTACACTGTAGCATGAAAACTTAATTTTGAAAACTAAAAGTTTTCATACTATGATTGTCATCTATGTAAGATAACAACTTAGTTTCATGCCACAGTGTAGCATAAAACTAAGTTGTTACCTTACATAGATGACAATCATAGCATGACAACTTAGTTTTGAAAATTAAAAGTTTTCATGTTATCTATAAAGTACGGATACTTTGTTAAGATCGACGTACTCGTATCGGATATCGTATTTGATACGATTCTTGATGATACGTATCGGATACGCAACATCTGTATCCGATAATTAATAAAATATGTGGATACTTCGCAGACACTTCTAAATATGGAACAAGATGTGCAATTTTCAATTTTAAGCTATACCTCTTATTTGGAGTTCACATACAATATAAAACATCAACAAAATTTCATCTGATTTTGAAGACACGAGTGTTTTTTAAGTATTATCTATTATTACATGTTAAAAGAGTATAAAAAAAATGAGTCACTTATACTATACTTTTAACAATAAATACTTGTAAAACCAACTAGTTAAATGTAGTTATGATTCTTTCAATTGGTAANTGATTGTCATCTATGTAAGTTAACAACTTAGTTTCATGCTACACTGTAGCATGAAATCTTTGTTTTTTTCCACCATGATTTTTTTTCCCACTTAGTTTCATGCTATGATTGTCAACTATGTAAGTTAACAACTTAGAGTGTAGCATGAAAACTTAGTTTTGAAAACTAAAAGTTTTCGNTGATCCTGTTGGGAGGTAAGCATTACTTCGAGATTTTGATCGTCAAGTAATGAACA